GAAGGTGTTGAACCGTAAGCGTGAGTGAAAGCGAATGTTTTATTTTCATCTTACAGAGGGGACGGATTACCAGTTTAACCCATTAAAATGGGACCAAATAATAGAGACAAAGGAGAAGAGAGGCTGCTGCATAGATTTGCACATAGACAAGCCCACAGACTGATCAGTGATGGCAGCATGTGTGTTTACTTGTGTTAGCCTCAAAACACACTCCACGGTTGTCCAATTAACGCAGCCCTGTCACACGCACGGATGGATATCAGGTAGCTATCTTGCATTCAAGCTCAACAGCTATGAAACAAGCATCATGATTGATGAGGCCTACGCAAAAACTTCAAGAGCAGATTAAAAAAGATGTTTCCCTCGACACCTGCAGCTAAATGGAAATCACAGCGCCCATCGCTGAATCCTGAACCTTCGTTCAGTGATTGTGCAGCTGTCCCGATGAAGTTACTGTGATTAGGGACAATCCAATGATTTAGCAAAGACCATCCACATCCAGAAATGATTTTCACCGGTCATTAGTACACGAATTAACGCCTGGCATTCATGAAAAATGCACTGCATTCAAAAGCAGTAAATACCAATCATTAGCTTTCTGGAATATCTTATCCTCAAAAGTATAAAGCGTGATTTCGCCTTCACTACGGCACTGAAGAGGTAATTTTTCATGCAGAAATGTCAGTCACCACAGGAGTCACAAAGTCGCCTTTTAAGTTGCTCTCGATGCTTTTACGTGCTTCATAAATCATGTCGCTTGCGTCGCAACTGTTGATTCCAGACTCCATCACCGTCATCACGAATGGACAACAGTTGGGCGGGTTAGAGCGAGAAGTACTGGACTGTCAGATCGAAGACCCGCCTGAAGACTAAAAGTGTACACACTAGTGTTGGCTTATATAGAGATAAGGATGGCCAAATATGGTTACTGGAGAACGAGCGTCAGTTACCAGATCTGCATTCGATCATGCGATTTGTTGGCTTCGATCTACCGTCCAACCGACACCTCTCTCCGACTGGCCACTTTGGGTGTAGCTCACGACCATCCCTCCTGTGCGCCCATGCTGTTGCCTTGAGGTCAGAGATTGCCCCTCCGTCAATGTCAAATCCACCCCCTAAATTGTAGATCCGCAGTTTCAATTCTGCCGAAATTCTCATTAGTACTGACGTATACAAATGAGAATACTCCCACTTATTTCAGCTAAAAAGTCTAAGTGAGAAACTGGTATTGTGGCT